CTGTTGAGCTGGCGGATGCGGCCCAACACCGGGATGCTGGGGAGCATTTCCCCAGAGGGTGGTCCAGGAGCAGCGCGCGCTGGAGGGCACCCCGCGACCAGTACGCAGGCCGGCGGCTCCCCCCCCCAGCGGGATGAGCCCATGCCAACGGAAGTCCCCGCACGGACCTGGCTGACAGGCTGCATTGTGCACCGTGACCTGCCGGTTGGAGCACCAGAGGTGGAAGTGAAAGTGAATGGAAAGCCGTTCCGGGCCAACCTGGACTCGAGCAGTGCGGTCACTCTGGTCCAGTCGCATATTCTCGCCCCCCCCCAAACAGGGTGTAAAGCCTTCCTCCCCATAACCTGTGTCCACGGGGACACACCAAGTTCCCGCTTGCAGGGTGACCATTTCAGCCACTCCCGGCGCCTGGCCGGTGGAAGTCGGTGTCATGAAGGATGTCCCCATGCTGATCGGGAGAGACTGGCCAGGGTTTGACCGCCTGCTGGCCACAGCTACGCAGCCTGCCAGCCCAGGAGGGGGCCAACGAAGAAGGAGGCCCACGACAGGACCTCGTCAGTGGCCCGTGCTTCTGGCCTCGGATAGCGGGAGAGAAAGTGAGTCCCCCTCCCAAAATCCTAACGTCTTCTGTGATGTGTTCCAACAGGTGACGGGAGGGGGCTCATTTGGGAAGGAACAGTGGGAGGACGACAGGCTGAAGCATGGATGGACCCAGGTCCGGGTCATCGAAGGCAAGGAGGTTCAGCCTGGTCCCCACCCTCTCCCGCATTTTGTTGTGCAAAATGGCCTGCTGTACTGTCGCGCAGCGAAGTGGGGAGGAGAAATTGTTGTTGGTGGTGCCAAGCACCAAAACGGAGACCGTACTGGAGCTGGCTCACTCCCATCCCTTGGCAGGGCATCTTGAAGCCGGGAACACCATCCAGCGGATCCGCGACCACTTCCACTGGCCGGGCTTGGAGGCCGAAGTCAAGCGGTTCTGCCAAGCCTGCCTGACCTGCCAAGTGACGTCACCCAGGACGCCTCCCCCCAGAGGCGCCTGGGGGGAGGCGAGGTGCCCTTCGAGCGCATCGGGATGGACCTTGTGGGGCCGTT